AAAAACTGTAAGAAGCAACAAAGGGCCCTGTCAGGGCTGCCTGAACCCTACTACTGCTCGGGATAATTTTGTTAATCCAGCAAATTATATCCAGCAAATTGCGATTAGTATTCGTAACAAATCTTCTTGCTGTCCATATAATAACGAACAGATTTTGCTACAACAGCAAAAAATCTGCTGTGTCAGCAAATTATTTTTCTCCGTGATAGATTTACCAAGACAAAATCAACGCGATTAAGTCAACAGGTACGCGTTAATGATAATGTTCACATACAAAATTCTCGCTTGACATCACTGTTTTCGACGAGGCGCATCTGGCCGGCGCGTTATGCGCCGTATGAGGAAACGAATAGATGCAATATGCCCAATGAAGTAATTCAGGACAAATCGAACCCGAGGACCGAAGACGAGGGGGGGGGGGGGAGAGAGGAAGGAGTAGAAATAAGAGAGAAGAGAAATTCAGGCTAGAGATATATGCGAGCTGGAGAGAAAGAAAGAGAGATCGGGGGAGGGTGAACGGAACGTCGGTAGCGAGATGGGAATTCCCGGGGCGGGATAATCCCGAGGGCGAGGCGAATTTCCGGAAACTACTGCTAGTATGGAAGGGATACATCCAGCCGAGTTATCGACGATAATCGAAATCCGGAGGAGTCCCTCGTGCCTCGTTCGTTTTCCCGTGCGTAGGTCCACCTACTGAAAACGAGCGGAGAAACGGGGAACGGCGGGGCGTATTTTTGAGCTCGAACGAGGCAGAATAGGAATCCATTTTCGAGGAACGAGCGGACGCGCGATACAAGATGATGTCTGAACCAAACATGAGGTGAAAATTACGAAACAGGGATGACGGATATATCCTCGGCTTCCCTTCACGTACGATACGTATCGCTTTCTGTGCGAAGCGCGTTATTTCCCGAAAGATAAATTCGATATGGCCAGCCGTGCTTTACGTTAAATTGTGTCATTGTGCGTATTACATATGTACGCATAATAATTATATTATTATATTTATTATTTGTATACAACATAAATACATTTCCTCTCGTGGAATAAAATAAAATCATAATTATTTAATTGATTTACCATTTAAGTTCGCACATAATTAACGAGGTATGACTTATTAAACATGTAATATATATATAAAACATGTTTAATAAGTTATAATCTTATTAATTATGTAGGAGCTGAAATGGTAAACTAATCGAATAATTGTGATTTTATTTTATTACGAAGGGAAATCGCTACGTACAATCTCTGTTAAATCTAGTAGCGCCGTTTCTTGGAATATCGCGCAATGTCTTCATCTCACCTCGATTCGAATTACCATTCTATATATGCCCGATGTAATTTACATCAGAGATTAATTTAATAGCTTAACTTTATTATGAAACCGCACCGATTCGCTTGCAGAGGTATTCTTCGTTAATATGCTATCAGATGTAACTGCCCGGGCTCCCTTTACGTATAAGGCAGCATTAACCAAACCGCTAAAACTAATAGTCACATAATTTTGATTTACGCAATAATTTGCGGCGCACAAACCACGCCCGTAATTTGCGTGTATTTACCGAAAACTTATATAAAGACACATTGTTTTTTCTCAAACAATATTCCACAAAAGAGCGTGAAAAGAACGAGGGGAAAACCGCTGAGGGCATTCTGGTGTACAGATTTGCGGCATTACTGGGCATTACTAGGCATTACTAGGCAGTTTTTGGGCATTAGTTTGGGCATACTGACAGAAAAAAATGGTTCCGGTTACCACAATGTCACTATAATTTATAGTCATTTTAGGGGCCAACTACATTTTTCAATTCTTCCAACTACGCAAGTTATGGTGCATTAGGCCTTGCTGGAGCATTATAAAGATAAAATAAGATAAAACAAGATAAATAAGATAAAGTAATGCCCATTAGTGCAGTGTACAAAATTCTGGTCAACGATTTTCCCTCGGAAAAGAAGAAAGAGAATTGAATACGTGACGCGAAGACTTGTCGAATGACCGCGACGTCGTTTAACGCACTTAATTTGGTAACGACGAGCGTAATTAAGAAGAGGACGAACGCGAAACCTGGCGCACGGCGCGAAAGTAATTTAACACAGAGAAATATTTTCGCAAGGATTCGCGGCGGTAACAAAGGGAATTTCAGCAGGGGCCTGTAACGGGACAAGACTGTTATCGTTTCCCAAAGTTGACTCACGGTGTTGATTCGTCTAATTGGCAAGAGTTTTTTTTAGCTCTTTAAGGGGAGAGACCGTTAAATGTTGGTTGAATGGTTTACCGACCGTGGGGTAAATAGCCGGCCCATCAAGAACGAAGCTCTGCGGTTTAACGCAAATTTTGACTAGCTATTTGTAATAACAGGGCGCGAATCAATTCCCTGGGCTGAATGTTGAGATTGCCCTTTTCAAAGTATCCTCTTCCTCGTTTCCGCGTGCACGAATGGCCGTTGACACGTTAAGTTTTTGCGGTTTTATTACAGTTTGCGCAAACATAACGCTCCTCTTCTTTATTCCGCGTAAAGAAAACAGAGACCGCGAGAGTCTCTTAACGGATTTAAAAAGGCGTTCGCATAAAAATAAACGGGAGAGTCAGTGCGCGTTTCGTTGCACGAAAATTATCCAGAATCCACCCCTGCAGTCCCGTTCGAGTCCATTCTCTGTTTCAAAATACACCGTGATCCCGCGGGAGGATTGACTCTACATTTTCGTAAACTACATTTAACAATTTGTCAATTTTTATTTCTGGGTTTCGTGTTTGCGACACATGAATATAGAGTATTTGCACAAAAATAAGAGGAAAGAGAATGTATTTCATTAAAACAACAGCGCGTTTTACAAACGCAAAACATTGAAACCCGCAACATTTTACGTATGCGCAACAAACGAACATATGGGATTAACCGGGGCCATCGCTCGCTGTTTATTTTGCATCATTCATAGCAAACAGATGTAATTGGAGGGTCAAAGGAGGGATTGATTATGTGCGGTGAAAAAATCATCGAGCACCCAAGGACGTTGGGTACAGGTGCGTATTAGCGAAATAGAGATCGATACGGCGCGCGGGGCCCCGAAATTCGCCCCAGCTGCCCTCTTTCACATTCATCTCCCACCCCAATCGCCGGTTTAACGTCGGCGGCCACCCCAAGCATTTATTTATTTGCACGCGGTTCGCATGCCGCGCGTTGCCTCGTTTCCCCGACGACGCGACGAGGCAGAGGGAACAACGAGAGGAAAGGACTCCCGAAGTCCCCGTCGAGAACGCGAGGACCGCGAGGGGTGAGATTCCCGCGGGTCGCGCTAGGGCTATAAAATCCACGAGCGAGACTCAAAACCCGTAATCACAGTTCGCACCGGTCGCCCACTATGATGGAGCACCTTCGCGAGAGGAGGAGGAAATGAAGGGTAGAGCCGCGCGCAGCTGGAAAAAAGGCAAG